TCTCTCCTACTCAGGAAAACCATATCCTAAACTGCAAAGCATAATTCTCCAAACTCTGTGTATAGTTTGTCCTTTTTTGTTGGTTTTTAGTGTTTAAAACTTGTAGTTTTTATGGACCACAGGGCCTGCTCCAATAGCTGCCCAGAATAGACAGCAGTTATCAGTACAAGGAAATAGCTCTAATATACAGCCTTTGCTGAAAAAAAAAAATTATTCCAATTAAAACAAGTAATTGCAAATCAGTAAGTAAAACCAAAAAAGTCTCTTCTTCTTCCTGCCCCCTCACCTCCAACTGTGTCCTCCTCCTTTCAGATTATAAGAACATGAAAGAGAACAGGATGATTTAGTGAAGAATCGCTTCCGTGCCCACACTGGCTGCCAGATGTTTTCTTTCAAAAAACTATTTTCTAATGAACACTGTCCATAACGTTACTGTTAATCAAAAAGGTTGCCATTTTAGAACTCCTGAGAAACAGGGGAATCACAGGATCCCAGACTGGCAGGGGTTGGCAGGGCCCTCGGGAGCTCACCCAGTGCCACCCCCCTGCCCAAGCAGGCTCACCCAGAGCAGGGGGCACAGGACAGCGTCCAGGCGGGGGTTGAAGATCTCCAGAGAAGGAGACTCCACAGCCCCCCTGGGCAGCCTGGGCCAGGGCTTGGGCACCCTCACAGTCAACAAGTTCTTCCTCACGTTCAACTGGAACCTCTTCTGCTTCAGTTTGTGCCAATTGCCCCTTGTATTGATTGCCCTAAAGTCCAAGGCTGTTATGGACATCTTCGTGCATTGCCAGAAGCAAGTTGTTTTGTCACTGATGCAAGATCAGGATTTGGCATTCCCAAAAGGTGATTTTAATTTATGAGAACAGTTCAGAGTGTACGTTTCAAGATGTTCATAGACCAACTCATTAGAGAGATGAATGAATATGATCAACATCTCTAATAAGCAGGTCTCCACAACACTCAAAAGTTGTTTCACAAGAGAAACAGTTCCTATGATAAAGCTTAGAACCACGTATTATGGAGAAGAAAACCTGCCTCCTACTTTTTTAATTATTTAAAGAACAGTCACTTCAGTGGTGGGTTTTAGAAGGTGTTTGTGAATCAAAACAGAAAATGAGAGTGCAGAACTCTAGCCTTAATCCTCCAATTTAATTTCCTTTAATCTTGCTTCTAGAATACAACCTCTTTTATAACTATCCAATTTTTCACCAAAGCCTGGCAGTTTCAGATCATAGAATCATAGAATGTTTTGGGTTGGAAGGGGCCTTTAGAGGTCATCTAGTCCAACCCCCCCTGCGGTGAGCAGGGACACGGCTAACTATCCTCTTATGCCTTTTTACCATGGGATACGTGCATTGCTGTTCTCCAGACAGACTTTGCTCCCCCGTCTCTGGGTTCAACACAGCATTTGGCTTCTAATCTAGGATGGCTAGCACAATAAAACTGGAACAGGAACAGAAGACGGAACATTGCAAGTGGTCATTTGGCAACCTGCAGGGCCCACACTTACAGCAAATACTCAGAGCGCAGGTAGGGTGGCGAACACAACATTAAGACTAAATAAAAAACAATTTATATTCACCCCCATTGAGGTTTGAGGCTGGGATAGGTAATTTCTTCCAAATGGAGGAGGAACACTAGGCTTCAGTGCTCCAGGCTTTTCTGGGTCTTGATCATTTAACTCATCATGGGGTTTCTTCACATAACCTGACCTCCAGTTGTTTTTGAACAAGAGGTAACTGCTGGAGGAGATTGTGGGGAGAAGAGGAAGGAGACGCGACCCCTAACTACTTAATTGGCCCATTTCATCAGGAGCTGCACTACAGTCAGTACTTGCAAGAAAAGATACTTAAAATAAACATCAATATTTAAACCAACACAACCATAAAAGTGTTTATTCCTTATTAAATCAAAACATTTTATTTAAAAGCAGCAGGCCTAGCAAAATAAGGGACAACCTAAAAAAACCCCAGGGGCTTAGACACATTCCATTTGGTGTGATAAAAGACAAAAGACCTGCATATCTTGCAACATATAATTTACTTCAAAGGACAGTAACTTAGAGCCTATGATTTTAATGATTGTCCTACAACTGATCATTTTGTGAAGTACCAAATAAAGCGCAGTTAAACTAAATATTGTGCTCTTACCCTTCCAGAGAACAGTATTTCATTTAAGCCATTCAGATAGAGGTAGTTCTGAGGGTTAGCGGTACATCTGAAAACTTGTTTGTAGTTAGTTGAGCTCCAAGACCTCAGCCTTATTTCAACTAGTTTGCTATTTTTAAAACTTCTCAGAAGCTTTAAAATCTCATATTTTAAATGTTCAGCTTAAAATCATAGAATGTTTTGGGTTGGAAGGGACCCCTAGAGGTCACCCAGCCCAACCCCCCTGCAGTGAGCAGGGACACCGCTAACCACATCAGGTTGCTCACAGCCCCATCCAACCTGGCCTTGAATGTTTCCAGGGATGGGGCCTCCACCCCCTCTCTGGGCAACCTGTTCCAGGGTTTCACCACCCCCGTTGTAAAGAATTTCTTCCTTATATCTAGTCTAAACCTACCCTGGTTTAGTTTAAAACCATTACCCCTTGTCTTGTCACTGCTGGCCCTACTAAAAAGATTTTCCCCATCTTTCCTATAGGCCCCCTTTAGGTACTGGAAGGCCGTAATCAGGTCTCCCCGCAGCCTTCTCTTCTCCAGGCTGAACAAGCCCAACTCCCTCAGCCTGTCCTCATAGGAGAGGTGCTCCAGCCCTCAGATCATTTTTGTGGCCCTCCTCTGGCCCCGCTCCAACACTTCCATGTCCTTCTGGTGCTGAGGGCTCCAGAGCTGGACGCAGTACTCCAGGTGAGGCCTCACCAGAGCAGAGTAGAGGGGCAGAATCACCTCCCTCAACCTGCTGGCCATGCTTCTCCCGATGCAGCCCAGAGTACGGTTGGCCTTCTGAACTTGCTACAGGGGCCCAGTTCTGATTTTGCATATACCAATACTTTTGAATCAAGACAACAAACTTCTCCCAGAAAGAGAGAATCCTGTTCTTTCACCACTCATTATATTGCCGCCACTGATATTAGGAGGCAAAGATAGATGGCCTTTACGCAATGATGCTCTGATTTGCCCCTTAGAGAGTTAATTGGAGGACTGACATCTGAAAGAGCCCTCCGTCTCACAGGACTCATTTTCTCTTTACCCGTACTGTACCCAGTGGAAGGATAGAAACATTTAACAGACTGGTCCCCAGACGTGCGTTGTTTTTACTAATATTTTCTCACTGTAGTATAGCAATCCTGCCCAAAACCTCATGGCAAGCAGCATCTTGAATGTAAAATATATACTATGCCAGCAGAGGAAATTGTCTGGATTGCTCTTACCTCCTAGAAGTGTCAGTGGATACCAGGAAACAATGTCAGATCTGCTCATCAGTCACAAGTAATTACAGATCCCTATCATCATTGTTTTCCCCACACAATCACCTTATCTCTTGACCAGACACGCAAGAAAAGCCTACAGTTGTGGGAAGGATTCATCCCAACAAGTTTGCTGTCAGAAAAGTAAGAAAATAATGAGTGTTGGCCAAATGTTTTTACTGTTCCTTAAAATGGGAAGAAATAGAATTTTTTTTTTTTTAATCAAATTAAGCCCAACTAGCTTCTAGACACCTCTTTACACTGGCTTTTTTAAAGTTTTCAAGGAGATGTCTAACACTTCCTTAATGTAGATTGTGGTTATTTTTCGTAACAATTTAAATAATTAAAACCACATTCCAATCACAGTCCTAATGGGTGGAGGCTTTGCCCAGTAATCCGTCAGGAGAGTCACTAGAGCTCAGTGCAGTGCTTCCCTATAGAGGAACCTAATTAAATGAACTATATGAATGAAGTGACCATATGGAACATCAGTGGTGGAGAGATACTAGAACTTGGAAGCAAAATTATCACAATAGATTCTAAAACAAGGAAAGAAGGTGCAAGTTATAAGCAGGTATCTGCTGAATCTTCAGAATATTGCAACAGGAGCTATGCTTCGGAGGGGAGGGTGTCAAGAGATGGTCTATACAAAGAAACACAAGTTACCATAATTCTGGGGCACTTTGACTGCAGAAACAAGTTGCAGAAACAGAGGAATTTAATTTCTTTCTATTTAATACCGACTGTAATGGCCACATGCTGTTCTGTGTTTGCATTTATTGTGTATTTTCGTTTGTGCCACCAGAATATAAGCTCTTCCGGGCAGGGCCCGGCTGTTTGTTTGGCACAAACTCCCCTATTATACAATACTGGGTACACTAACGTAGCTACACACACTACGTTAATCCTCTCCCTGAAGCAGGCTAATTAAATCAAAACCTGATAAAAGTGTTACAGTTTTCACACAAATCAACAGAATCAAGGACATTTCAATTTTAACTCACCAGGGGACTGGTGTGGAAAAAAAAAAATGAAATACCATTTAAAAAGCTGTAATTATAGCAAAACTGTGCCCTAGGAGTAGTGGCAGAGTTCGGCTCAGGCCCCTGTGTACCTCCCGGGAAGCTGCAACTCAAGTGAGTTGGACCCTACTGAGGCAAGAGGACCTGGCAGTACTGTGCTGAGCCCAGGCAGAGGAACCTAGCTTACGGCTCACATTGCTCGGCCTTGGTGTGGTTTGCTTTCACTATAGAGCCGAGTGAAGATTAATGGGTCAACACCTCTTGCCATTCCAGGACCTCATAGCTTTTGCAGGTTCACAAAGCAGCATTATCCGCAGCAGGGATAGCCCATCACACCGCCCTGGGACTGCTTCCTTGCACCTACTCCGAGTTAGGCTTGCGAGAGTTTGTACGTTCCTTATTCTGGGCTGTCAGGAGGTCTGTGCCTGCCATAATTCAGACCCAAGTATCTAAAAAGCCTGGAGAATACCCGAGTGCTGTACCCTCTTTGTTGTTCCCGTGGTATTTTCCGCCCCGCCATGTGCGCTACACCACAGCAGAGCAGGTTCTGTTACAGAGAAGCCCTCTATGCAAGAGCATTCATCAAGCCTCCATTTAAATCTGTACCGAGCCTCGTGATTAAACCTAACCTTCTGTTAGCTTAAAAAAAAAAAAAAACAAAACAACCCACGAAATTCAGTACAGAATCATAGTTTTGGGATCGAAGGGACCCCTAGAGGCCACCCAGCCCAACCCCCAAAAAAAAAACCATGAAATTCAGTACAGAATCACAGAATCATAGTTTTGGGATCAAAGGGACCCTTAGAGGCCACCCAGCCCAACCCCCCTGCAGGAGCAGGGACACCTTGAACCACATCAGGTTGCTCACAGCCCCGGCCAACCTGGCCTGGAATGTTCCCAGGGATGGGGCCTCCACCCCCTCTCGGGGCAACCCCTGCCAGGGTTTCACCACCCTCACTGGAAAGAATTTCTTCCTTAGATCCAGTCTAAACCTACCCTGGTTTACACCCCTTGCCCTGTCACAACCAGCCCTGCTAAAAAGATTGTCCCCCCCTTTCCTGTATATTTTATTTCCTTTGCATTGACATAAAGGACCGCAAGGTACAAGAATGAACTGCCCAACTGATTTCCCAGGTAGCTTCAGGTGATTGGCACGTACCCAAGGATGTCTGTTAATACCCTGCCACAATATAGCTTTACAGGAAACACATTTACATGAGCTGGCATGAAATCCATGCAGTAAAGTTTGTTCTGTAATTTGGTAGCTGTACTTCTTCATTGTTTTCCAGGCACATACCCAGGCAAATTATAATAAAGGGAGTCAAACTGTACAAATGCTAAAAGATAATTGCAAACCTAATAGGGCACCAGAATTTCTGCTTCTATCCGTGCTACCCATTTGTTGCTTATAGCAAAAGTAAAGTCATGCCAATAAAAAAAACCCAGCCCAGATTAAAGTGGATAAATTGGGGGGGTTGTTTGTCCAGGGCTTAGGTTTTCTTGAAAGCACAGCTTGTACCCGATTTACTTGTCCTAATGCAGGCCAGTGTAAAGAATATGTTATTAAACCTTTTAATTTCAAACACACTTCTGTGATTGCAACTTAAATGAAAACACATGACTCGGAATCCCACTTGATCTCTTCGCACTAGTTCTGGCAGTGCACAGGCTTTAATTCTAATCAGGATAAACAAATCCATAGCTGAGACCTGGTAAAGAGAAATACATGCCAATTTTATAGGAAAAAAAAATCTTGCTTTTTTTTGTTAAATGCCGGACAAAGGGAGAAGTACCGAGCAGTAACTGGAGGTGCCGGCCTGAATACAATGAGAGCGCTGAATTACAGGGAAGCAGAAGGAATCCAGAAGAGACCAGGTGAGAGGCAGCACTGCTTCAGTGCCTCTCATCAGATGGTAGAAGGGGTGGTTCAGCCTTTCCATCGATTCTCATTTCGGTTGGTATTGTCTTGGGATATTAACAGTTTTACTCCCTGTGGCCAAAGCTTTTAAAACGAAGGGTGATTAAATTAGCTTTTAAGCAAAACACAACATGCAGGCTGCTAAGGTAGGAACCTAAGTAGAATAAAAGACCTTTTCCAACCAACGCAGGCCTGAAGATGCCATCATATAATAATAAATAGCTTTTCATTGGTCTGGTTCACTTTCATACTGGGCGCCAGTGCATGGAGCAAGACAACAATCTGGCTCCGAACGGTTGGTTTTGTGAAGCGTGGTGGTGTAGCTGGATACTTCCAAGGATAAAAATGCTCTCAAAGCAGCATACAATTTAAAGTTCATAAGTGAAATAAAGTGGAGAGCTCATCAACAAGAATGTCATTTCTAAGAATAAAGACAGATTTTTGTTGTTGTTGTTGTTGTATTTAAATGCTATTCATGACTCCAAGGGAAAAATTAGAGTTTCCTCACAGAACGAGTAGGAGAAAGCAGCAAGGGCAACAAATGTCAAGTTAAAGCAGATATATTTGCTGGTGGGTCATTTAAATTGTGCCTGAAGGATAATCCCAGCAAGATGGGTATTTCAACTTCGTTTAGCAGCATCCCTAGCTGGGATAAGGAGGTCTAATCACTTTATTAGAGCAGCAATGTCATTAGAGGAGAATTTGGGAGGAGGAAGCTATAAAAATTAAAAAGTAAAAAAAAAAAAAAAATTTAGCAGGATAACTTTAGCAAGCAGCTTGAAGCTGTGGATATTTATGATTTCAGCAGCTAGCCTGACTTTGTGGCATGCCAAAAGGCTGACTGTGCAGCAAACTAAGAACTGCGCTGTTGTTGCCCATGAAAATACAAAAATTAAAAAACATGCTATATTTGTTTTACCTCTCACGTTTTAAGAATGGCCGAGTCCAGCCCATTTTCTTTTCCACTTGAAATGTTTCAAAGCAATACACTCTTTACCTCCAGACTTCTCCATTCCTTTTCAATTAGGACCTAGAATTCAGGTGGCACAGTAAGATTGATGCAGCCCGACCTTCCTTGCCTTTCACGCAGCGCTCCTGCGACTGAACCAGCAAAGCCTGGGGCGTGGGCAAGAGAGGGGCTTCCTTTAGCTCAGTCGCTGGCGGGGATATCCCCTAACAGAGCATTAGTGCTAAGCATTGCAAACAGATAGTTTTACTAATTAACTAAAATTGAGCTTTTATACTGTCCTGTAGCCTCCTCCTCCAGCTAACCAGCTCCAGCTGTGACAGAACACGCGGTGTCACTGGCTTCCTCTGCAGTGCTACGTTTTGATTTTTTCTATACTGTGGGGAAGAACTGCTGATAAAAAACATTGCAGCGCTATCCTTGAACCTTACACCGCTAACTGGGGACTCTCCCTCTAATTAAAAAGCTACTGAGTGATCAGAGCACCCTTGAATCAGGAACCGAAATGTCAAAAACGTGTCTTTATTTTAAGCTGCAAGGTACGTGCCCATTTTCGTACCAAAGCGTCCATAATATCTTGGAGCACAGAGTAAGCAGAGATGCCCAAAGCCCCACCCAGCTAAGGAACAATGTTCTTAGAATATAAAGCTTAAAGCAAGGAGTGCAGAATGGTTATGAACTGGGTAAAGATAACAGAAGTTTGATACTAGCCTTTAAGAAATTGATGAAGCTTTTTCTGGTCCTTGCCTACTACTGGACAGTCTCACACCTCAGGTTTTTTGGGTTTCCTTGCCATTTTTTGCAAGACCAGAACCGCATTTAAGAATACACCCAGAGAAATAAGTGTTTTCCACGGCAGAGAACAAAAGTCAGCACCAAAAAGTGAAACATTTGACGTGCCCGGTGCCCAGTTTTTAGCTACTAGCGTAATATCCTTTAGCAGCCTCGAGTATGATTCTGAAGATGAAGATGACACATGGCCAAAGCCATTCTACAGACGGCCTGACTGCTCAAAAGGGTATATTCTGGGCTGAAAGCATCATCGTTGTTCTCAATGGCCTATCACTTAAAATAGACTCACACCAGTAGACCACCATTAACAGCCGGTAGCGGCTCTTTTGGGTCCACTTCCTCTTCTTATTCATAGACTTGAAAGAGAAACATCCTTGGACAAACATTTTCATTTTGAAACACTTCCTACTCTAAAGTCATGTCCAGCATCAAAATGAACAACCGCAGCATGAATTAACCCTCTTAAGATACGATCTTCACCAAGTGTCTCCGAGGCCCGGGTATTTGAATCCACAAGATTGTTTCTACAGGGCCAAGTGCAGCACTTACATTTCTAGGAGCAGGAAATCGCCCCCTCTTCAGATGCGTCCACACTTATTGGTGCAGACAAGGTGCAAATTACACCAAGATACCAACCAAGGTAAATCAATACCAAAGAGCCTGTTCATCTGGTCTCACCGTAACTAGCTACGCCGAGACCGACCGCTTGCAGGCCCTTAAGTACATAGTGTCAGCAGTGGTGCGCGCACACATCCGAAAAGGACAGAAACGAGTCTTGGTGGCCCATTGATTTCGCCGCCTCACACTTCTCCACCTGAAGCTAAAGAGCAGTCGAGAGGCAAACAGGTACAGCAAAGCTGACTGGTTTATAACTGTAGCGTTAACGCAATGTGTGTATGCGTGGAGGGAGAAGGAGTTCAAGCCACAAGCAGCTGCCCTTTTTCCATTAACACTTCCCCCTGTATTTACAACTCGCCTTGCACACTTTTGAATTCCCCCTCCAAACAGCATCACTCACTGCTGATACCAGACGCCGTGCCTCTACAGCAGTCGTGATGTGCGTTACAAAATACGCCCTATCTGGATAAGGAAGAAATAAAGGTGGTTTATTTGTCCTATTCCTAACCTTTATTGTCAAGGATAAGTTATCTGGCTTAGCTTTCAACAGTCTAATGAGAGCAGTATTTTGGAAATTCTCTCAAGTACAGTTTATGTAAACTGGGTCCGATATTTAAGGAGTCAGGAAGTCACCATGCTGCACCGTACCTACTACCTTCCTGCTATATATTTAATGTTAAGAACATCACCTTCACTCAAAAGTCAAGAGAAAAAAAAACAACTCCCCAGGCTCCTGGGCTATAATTTGCTTTGCCTGCTACTGTGGCCACATGTATCAAAAGGAAGTTTGTACGGGTGCACCAGGTTTTGACAAAAAAAATAAAAATGCTAGTTTATGATCCAAAACTGCTGTCTGCCTGCCATAGTTGCCCAGAGCTTTATCCAACCAAGTTTTGAAAAATCTCCACAGATGGAGCCTATGCAAACTCCCTGGCCAAAATCTGCTCGACTAGCCTAATGATGAGAAAGTTTTTCCTCTTAAATCCAGCCTAAATCTCTGTAATTCCAGTTTACGTCCATTGCCTCTCAGCTTCCTACCGTTCACGGCTGTAAAGAGCCTGGCTCCGTCTTCCCGATAACCTCCTCAACGGTGCAGGGAGGCTGCTGTCAGGCCCCCCCTAGAGCCAAATATACCACAGTTTCCCGGCACTCACTCAACGCGTACCATGGGAACTATGGTTTATTTTATGAGATGCAGCTCTATATGTCCAAATTATGATTTTCAAGAGAAACCCTAGCAGTTTTATCTAGAAACCAGAGAGCTCACAGTTTTGCCAGCAGCAAAATGGAGGGAAAAAACCCATAGAGCATGGGGTTAAAAAAAAAAAGCGCCCCGCTTGCCAAAATGTATTTTAAAAAGAAGCAAGAAAGCCCCAGTAACGCAGTGCTAGAACACCCACTTTCTGTTTATCCCAGCATCTCACCCATAAGACTGCTCCGTAGGAACAGCCCCATTCACAAATAGAACAGTAAAGCCCTAGCACCGTTTATCCAGCTACGGAAAAGGCATATTCCATACAGGAGTTTAGCAACAAAAACAGAGAAGGCCCAATTTAGTAAATCCAGTTTGCCTTACTTGTTATTTAGCAAAC